AAATTTTCTTATTTGGCAATTTTTTTCTATTTAATGAAATAATCTGTTGATAAGTGTAATTCCTTGAGATTACAATTACAACTTAAATGCATTTCATCAATTTTAATTACACACTGATACACAATATATAAATAAATATTATGGAAATTGTATTTATAAGTTGTTAATACAAAAATACTCCTCTTCGATATAATGTCTCTCTTAAGTAATTCGAAAAACTTTGTCCTTCCATTTTTCTCTCCCTTATAATAACAAACTATTATATAAATAAATATTTACATAAAGACACACAACTAGATATATAAATTGAAAATTTAATTTCTTAATATACATATATGCCAATAAAGAAAGATACCTTTTAACACATCTATCTACCTATAACTATATCTATATATACATATATATAAAAATTAAACTATAAATATTTCAAATCTTTTTTCCCTCCCTCCCACACAAACAAGATGATATAAATACACACATATATAGATTTAAGATTATTATTATTAAACTAACAAACTATAATATTATATAAAAAATGGATGTTTAATTTTGAATGATTTTTTTGAATGAAAAAAAAAATAAATAATAACTAAATGTCATTGCCTAACAAAACAATAACAACAGCAACTATTATTTTTCTTTACAAAAAAATAAATACAAATATATAAATATGACAAAAAGAAATGCATTTGACAAATAATAAAAAAAAAATATTAAGATTGAATTGCATTGTGTATAAATTAAAATATATTTTTTGTGTTGTCTATTTTTTGAAATTAAAAAATATATTATTTTCATATTGTTGTTGTTCTGAAAGGGGAATGATAGCAATTTTTTGCATTGCTCTTTATGTTGATCCCAAACCAACTATCTTTCTATCCATCCATCTATCCGTATAAACAACAAAGACCAGATATTTATAATCTTTCACAGATAAACGGAATGATATCCCTCTTCTAGCATTGTGTATAAAGAGAACAACAACAAATAAAATAGCATATTCAAATATACATATATAAATATTACAACAATAAAAAATAACAACAAACAAATAGTCAAACAACTATGAATTGTCAAATAATTTTCCCTCCCATTTTTTGGTTTGTTTGTGTTGTTATTGTGCATCCGACAGATTGACAAAAAAACTAAACAAAAACTATGAATTGAAAGTAAAGTAAAGTGTATAAGAGTATAATAATAAGAAGATGAAGCAGCAGAACAAAAAAATAATAATATAGATTGTGTATTAACAAACAAACAAAAAATGTTGTCTTGTGAATGTACATTTCATTCATGGTATGTTTCTTTAGTTGTTGGAGATTGTGTTTAGTTTAGTTCACATTCATTTTCCTTTAACAAGGATTCTAGTATATCTGTATGTATGTCCTTGTATATTTTTTCTCAAACAAAGTTTAGTTAAAGCAAATGACACATAACCCAAAAAGTCAAAATGATCAAAAAAATGAATATTTGAAAACTAAGAAGAAAAAAACAACAACAACAATTCAAACAAATGAACGTTTCTTTTGTGTATTATGCATTATTCAATAAAGTGATGAGTTTTTTACAGAAAAAAAAAGATATTTAATGAAAAAAATATATATACATATGATGAAAATAAATTTTGAATGTGTTTTGTTGGGGATTGTTATTTGTGGAAGGGGTGAAGAAATGTTAAAGGTTATTACTAACATATTTTTCAATCACAATGGAAATATTAAATATGAAAGAAGTAAAGATGTCAGACAACCATTTACTAAAATGTCACTTAAATTTCTTCTTAAAAACTCCAAATTTTAAATATCTATATTCATAATACTGTTTCGAACTATAATCCGGCATATAAAATCATGGAAGCAAGGTAAACCAAAGTCGATGAATTTGTTTCATTAATTGCACTTAAATGCGTGAAGTAACGAGAAAAAGTACCAAGAAATACGACATTTGTAATTTTCCTTTTTACTTTTTTCCTGCTACTCCTCTTGTCAGCATAGAGCTTTCACAAAGCTCCACCATCTTACTCGATTAATTTTCGTTGTGTTTACATCTTCCGATGTAGGGTTATTTTATCTTATTCTTGGATTATTCTTCGCCGCCAGGTGTTTCTTGGTCGATTTTCTATACAATGTGAACCCAAAATACCAAATTACAGCCAATTCGGTTGAAAAACGAACTGAACATTGTCAAAATACCCAAAAAGCTGGGGGCGTGGTCCACCCATTTTTTCTTAATTCAATTTTTCTAACATTCGAATTCTACACTCCAAATTTGGTGAATCTATCTTGTCGGGATATATCTAATGCCACTAAAATCGCGATTTCAGCCATAATGCGTTGTATGGGATCCTGGTTCGTTAGGTTCAACAGCTCTATGTTACTTATGGTGTTGGGCCAGAAATTTGATGATATTTGACCCAAGTCAGGTTTCACTGCCTTGCAGCCGGCCTAATTATATTCCTCGCTTTTTAATTACGTCTATTTTTTCAGCACCACTTGTTGTTACAGTGCTTCCGAGATAGCAGAAGCTATCGACGTATTCAATTGCTTGGCCTTGGCAGACTTCATTCATTATTTCATCCAGTACATTTGTGATCAGAAGGGGCTACAGAGGGCATCCTTGTTTTACTCCTACGTTGGTGTAAAGACCTAAGAGTTCTGCATCTTCGTACATCGCTCTTATTATTACTTTGCATGCCAGTCACTCCAGATCTTCTACTTTTAAAGGCATGATGGAGAAATAAGGCAGATATCATCCACATAGTCTAAGGCTGACGTCAAAGTGCGCGCGACAAGCGATGCTATGATATGCCGCTAGACGACGCTATAAACCTCTGCGTGTGTTTTATTATGGCATAGCGATTTTTGGCATCGTTCTTTTGCATCTTATCGAATCTTTTTTTTTTTTTGGTTTTTCATGTATTTTTGTGGACTCATGCCCAAATTTAAATAAATAATAATAAAATAATTTGGAAAAAATACGGGAAATCGATGCAGAAATATTTGTTAATTTGATGAATTTTTATTTTAAAATTGCTTAGAAAATATTTTGCGATATGAAAAATTCTTCGTCTGAATCCTTCTTGAGTCAATAAACACCAGTTTACAACAGAAGTAGGCGATGTAAACCAAGAACACGCTTTGTTCTTGGTTTACAATGTACTATAGCATTGAAGTAGCATGAACTATTATAGCATGTAGTATCGCATTGCTTCTCGCTTGCTCTAAGGCTCTATGCCTCTTCTCTGTGAGCAGACTGCATTCATTACTTCATCCAGTATAATTGTGAGGGTTCGCTCTTGTTATTCGGATTATTTTCTCCCTTTTTGCTCAATGCTTCCCATATGGCAGTTCGTCTGATGGCATCGAAAGCTTTCTTGAAATCGATGAACAGTAGGTACATGGGGGTGTGCCATTCTATAGATTGTTCTACGATGACTCGTAGAATGTTGGTATTGTCCACGCAGCTTCTATTTGGTGTAAAGCCAGCTTATCTCTCAGAATGTTATCTACTTTACTTTGAATACTTTTCTGCATTATGGTTGCAATAATTTTCTTTTTTTTAATTTTTGATTGTTTTGTTACGTATTTTATTTCATACAAGCTGGGAGGGTTGTACGATATTTTCCGTGGTGCGTCTGACGTTACTGATTTCTTCGAAATGTTCTGTGTATCTGTGAGTTTGTTAGTAGCCTACGATTACGATCTTTAATTGCTGTAGTCCTAGTACACCTTCTATTTGTGAGACTATCTATTGGTCGGTGTAGCTTTCTTATGATGTTATTCTGGCTAGCTGCTTCCTCGGCTGTTTTTGTTAGATTTTCTAGGAACTTTCTTTTATCTTTCCTTGCTGCTTTCTTCACTGCAAATTGAGTTTACCTCTTTGAAAAACTGCCAATGTCAGATTATCTTTTATTTCCGACGTCCGAAAGGGAACTTTTTCATCTTCTACTAACAGAAATATGATCTATTTGATTGCCAGTATTGCCGCTTGGAGATGTCCATGTGTATTTATGAATATCCTTGTGCGGGAAGATGGAACCACCAATGATCAGCTGGTTATTGTTTTTGACTCCGCATCCATGTATTCTCGCCGTTATTGTTTTTGAATCCGCATCCATGTATTCCCATTGCTGAAGGAGCTTTAGTGTTATCGCTACCTATTTTAGCGTTAAAATCACCCATGAGAATAAAATGTCTCCTCTCCGAATTTCGTTAAGCGTGGTGTGTTAGTAGAATTCATCTTTGACGGTATATTCTACATCTTCCGTGGGAGCATATCACTTTACTATGGTGATGTGTCTTACATTGCTCTTGAATCGAACCATTATTACACGGTCAGATATTGGTTCCTATGTCTCCGACGACTTCTTAGCATTCTTCGACATTAGGATCCCAACTCCTCTTTCACCGTCATTTTCTTTTCCACTGTATATTACATAGTTGTCATTTTCTATTGGAAGTTCATCGCTTTTATTCCATCTCATTTCGTTTATTCAGAAGACTTCGATGTCATTTGCTGTTCTAGCTTTGTAAGCCTCGATGCTTCACGAAGAGTTTGTACATTCCACAGGCGTCCAAATTCTGAAAGTGCAATAATAATGCTTGATATTGCTTAGCGTAAAACAATAAAATGGGAATCTGATCTATACCAGGTCCCAATTCTTGTTCTATGAACATATTTGAATTTAAATATGTATTTATGCTTAATTTAATTTCATTTTAAATTTATATACATTTTATATATTTTTTCATCCGTATATTAATTTAATTTAATTACATTATTTTTTATTAAAATTATATTTAATTTAACGGCATAGTATTAAATTAATTTAGTATGTTTGTGTTGGGCATGTTTGCTTGCTTTAGCTTAATTCTAATTTATGTTATTTACTTTAGTTAACAATTATTTGTTTGCTATTATTTTTATTACACCATTTTATTTACCTTATTTTTAATTTTGTTTACTTTTTTCTTTTTATTTCAAATTACTTTCAACAATAGGGTCCTCCTGGTCTCGATGGCATGAAGGTGAGTAGTGGAAACTAAAAATAAGTGTTTGAAATGAAAATATATTAATAATATATTTGTTTATAGGGTGCTCAGGGCGAAACTGGCTTAAAGGGTGAACGTGGTGATCCCGGTCTACCGGTAAGAAATTTTATAAAAAAAAATAAATGAAATAAAAAATTCTGCTATCGATGTGCTGCATGCTTAAATGGTCGTTTAAATAAAACTTACTTTACGAATCTATCTATTTTTTCTCTCTCTTTCAACCAATCCCACCCACCTTTATTTCAAATATATATTTCACTAACAATTGTGTATGTCGATTGTATTGTACAAAATTAAAAACAATAAATAAAAATTAAAAATCGAAATAAAGGGTACCGATGGCATACCTGGCCAGGAAGGACCACGCGGTGAAAAGGGCTCCCGAGGCGATCCTGGTCCACCGGGTAAACGTGGACGCAAAGGTGATCGCGGTGATAAAGGCGAACAAGGTGTACCCGGCTTAGATGCACCATGCCCCTTGGGTTCAGATGGCCTACCATTGCCCGGCTGTGGTTGGAGACCACAAAAGGTTAGCATGATTTACAAATAATGCAAAAACATGAAAAATCCACACACAACAAAGCTTCCCTGCCCTTTCCCAGCTCCTAATTGGTTTTGGTTTAATTCCGCAAAAAAAAAAACACAAAAATTCCGCTCCACATTTTTTTGAAATTCCATTCCCACCCATTTAATGTTTTCTAATTTTTAACGGTTTTGGTTACTAACATTTTTTGCTAATATTTGTTTCTCTTTTGTGTCTAACATGATATTTTTTGCACCAATCTAAACAAACACCTGCACTACCACAACCACCTCTGCAAAAATTAAACAAATCGCCTTTAGGAAACGGTTATCTCAACACCAGTCCATAAAGATTATTTACCTGATGTCACGGGTCCTGAGAGCAATAATGCCAGCGATTATGAACAGGAAGAAGATGAAGAGGAACAAAATGAAAACGAAGATGAATATGATGAATATCAAGACAATTTACACAACGATTAAAATCACGATAAAAATCGTTTAAAGAATGAAAACAACAAAACAGGGGCAAAATAAACGCCAACACAAATCCGAAAAATAGAAAATATTTAAACAGGCAGACAAAAAATGTGCTAAAAGCCCTGGCAGACAACGATTAACAATTTGTTTAACAAGAATAATAAACAAACAACAACAAAAAAGAAACAACGAATCTAAAACATCGACCTGATCCATGCCGCCAGCCATAAAACAATGGTTCTACTGTGTGTTGTCATTGCAATCCACAATCTCCGGCCTCCCTGGCAGTCCCTGGCTTCGTCAACGTTGCATTATTTCCATTAACATTCAGCCAAGCGTTTACCATCATTACTGCTGCATTTAGGCCATTAGCACCTACCTGCTTTTTTACACAAACACACACATCTCAAACACATTATGGAGTGACATTTCCAATTAACATTTAATTACAATGGAGTGGGTGGCTGTCCAGTCACAATGTGTCCAGCTAATATTTGTATTCTTGTCTAACCCTGTCGTTATCGTTTTAATGTTTATGTATTTGTTTTTTTGGTACTAATTTCTAATTTAACTCACTATTCTAACAACAACAACTACACCAAGCACCTCAAGTAGCTACGACTAAATTGTTGGAAGTTTGACTTCTTCATGGTGGAGGCTGTACTACTCACTCTAACACACAGTAAAGTATAATTTTTGCAAACACAATCTATAATGCTTTTTTTTAATAATTGGTATTTTTGTTAGTAAAATTTTTATAATAATGAAACAAAGTATAGAAAAAAATTAAAAGTAAATGAAGAAACAAATCCACGCCTCTATGTAGAGCCCTCAAAATATTTGTAAAAAATCCATGCCTCTATATAGACCCTCGAAAATATTCTTTAAAAAATCCACGCCTCTATATAGACCCTCCAAAATATTCTTTAAAAAAATCCACGCCTCTATATAGACCCTCCAAAATATTCTTTAAAAAATCCACGCCTCTATATAGACCCTCCAAAATATTCTTTAAAAAAGTAAGGAAAGTAGTAAAGTCGGACGGGGCCGACTATATGACGCCCTTCACCACTTTGGGTATGAAAGTCGAAAGATATATAGGGACTTTGGTGCACCATTTACATTAAATCGGACGAACATATATATGGGAGCTATATCTAAATCTGGACCGATTTTCACGAAACTTGGCAGACATCATTCTAGACTCAATTCCGTACGTTGTGACAAATTTCGTGCAAATTGACTTTGGTGCACCATTTACATAACATCGGACGAAACTATATATGGGAGCTATATCTAAATCAGAACCAATTTTCACGAAACTAAACACACATCATTCTAGGCTCAATTCAGTACGCTATGCCAATTTTCGTGGAAATCGAAAGATATATAGGGACTTTGGTGCACCATATACATAAAATCGGACGAAACTATATATGGGAGCTATATCTAAATCTGAATCGATTCCAACAAAACTTTGCACACATCAATCTGAACATATTTCAGTACGCTGTGCAAATATTTGTCTCAATCGGACAATTTACCTAGAATCAGACGAAACTGTATATATGGGAGCTATATCTAAATCTGAACCGATTTTCTCCAATTTCAATAGGGTTCGTCCTTGGGCCAAATAAGTGGCATGTGCCAAATTTCATCGAAATCGGATCATAAATGCGACCTTAAAATACCGAAAATTGGGAGTAACCTTATATCTACCCGAAAAAATTTACCTATATTTATAATTTTTTGTGGAGAGATTTGCTACCCAATAGAACTCAACTCAAAGTACCAAAATTCAGCGAATTCGGTTGAAAAACGCGCTCAAGAACCTAAAAATACCAAAAAAAGTGGGGGGGTTAACCTCATATGGGGGCTACCCAAAAAAAGTCCAATATTTATATTTTGTGGAGAGATTTGCTACCTCATTAGAACTAAAATACTAAATTACAGCCAATTCGGTGAAAAAATCCGGTTAAAACACCCCCAAAAACTGAAAATTTGGGAGTACCGTTATATAAGAGCTACCAGAAAAAGTGGGCCGATATTTATATATTTTTAGGTTGAAAACGCGCTTAAGAACCCTTATATTGGAGCTATGCCTAAAGGAAGACCGAAGTAGCCCATCTTCAAACATGACCTGCCTGCAGACAAAAGAAGACTATGCAAAAATTTGGCATTCTTATCTCAATTCGTTTAGACGCTAGAGTGTTTACAACAGACAGACGAACTGACGAATCGTCATAGAAGAATATATACACTTTATAGGGTCGGAAATGATTTATTCGATGAGTTACAAACGGAAAAACGAAATTAATATACCCTCCATTCTATGGTGAAGGGTAAAAAAATCCACGCCTTAGCTAAGCCCTCAAAAAAATATTTTTAGAAAATCCACGCCTTTGCTAAACCCTCAAAAATATCATAAAAAAAATCCATCCACTCAAAAAATATTTAAAAAAAAATGCAGGTCTTCATTTAAACCCTCAAAAATATTAAATCCATGCCTTTAAAATATTATTTTTTAGGGTTCTACTTTGTTTCATTATTATATTTTTTTCAAAATTTATTTATTTTTCCAAATAAACAAACACCTATTAACGAACTTTCACTAATCTGTTTTACAGGACAATTGGGAAGAATGGCTTAGAGAGGAAGTAATACGTATAGTCAAGACTATGCCAAAGATAAGACGCAGATAGATTGCACACACCATACCCAAGTCGAATAAAAACTCACCCCTGCCCCTCTCTTGTCAATACCACAACACAAAGCTTTAAACACACACAGCTAATAAAAATCAAGTGATTGGTACAGAGCAGCTTTCTAAAAAAAAACACAAAACTATGCAATAATTTCTCTCTACTATATCCCCATTTTTAAGAAGAAAAAATAATTTTAATTTTTTGTTTTAGATTTAAGAACAACAACAAGAATTAACGATGAATCTTTATGAAAATAAAACTAAAGAAAGTATTGTTATTTTATAGAGAAAGAATAAAAATTAAAAAAAAAAAAACAAAAAACACAAATTACGAAATAAGAAATCGAACGAGAACGAAAAAAAAAAACATAATTTGTAATGCAAAAAAGCTTTACTAAGTTTCAATTTAAGTTTAGATTAATTTCAAAGAGTTAAAGAAAAACATAAGTTTAAATGCAATCAATTATTTGCAATAATTTAATAAACAATAATATATTTATGAAAACAATTAAATTAAAATAATGTATTCAATTAAATAACAAAATAAATCAAAATAAAAAAACTAACTCCAATATATTTTTTATATGCAATATGACATGTTAGCAGTAATTTATATATCATTTACTCATAGTTTTTATTATTCATATGAACGTAATTTTTATTGAATTAATGTAAAATAATTTTAAATTCTTGCTACTTTACATTTTTACTGTTCTAAACTGTGTCATAACATTCTCTATTATTTTATTTTTCTCTTGTTTATTATTCATACATACAAAATAAAACTATGTAATACTTCTTCGTAAACATATGAATCTTATTTTTTATTTTAATATTTTATATTGTAATAGTTTATAAGTATTATATTGAAATTAGTTAGTTTTTTTCAAATATGTGAATTGTTTTAATAGAATGAAACGTAAAAAAGATATAAAACTACTTTGAATATATATACAATATAAAAACTATATACTATATATAATATAATATAAACCTATATAATAAAATATAAATAAATTATGTATAAATAAATAAAAACTGTTTTATTATTATACAAATGGAAAGGGTATACAATATTATACTTTTAAAAAATCAACGCCTCTGAATAATCCCTAAATATAATTAAAAACCAGTAAGGAAAGTAGTAAAGTCGGACGGGACCGACTATATGATACCCTTGACCACCTTGGTTATATTCAACAGATGAATCCTAACAGACGTCGCATTTTAAAGGACCAATAAAATGAAATTGGATCCATAAACATATCATTCTGCAACCTATACTAAATTTTTCATTTGGTCTAAATCTGAACCGATTCATTCTAGACCTAATTCATTACGCTGTGCCAAATTTCGTGCAAACCGAAAGATATTAAGGGGCTTTGGTACACCATTTACCTTAAATCGGACGAAAATATATATGGGAGCTATATCTAAATCTTAACCGATTTGCACGAAACTTTGCACACATCATTCTAGGCTTAATCCAGTACGATGTACCAAATTTCGTGCAAATCGAAAATTATATAGGGACTTTGGTGCACCATTTACCTTAAATCGGACGAACATATATATGGGATCTATATCTAAATCTAAACCGATTTTCAAGAAACTTGGCACACACCATTCTAGGCTTAATTCAGTGCGTTGTGCAAATTTCATGCAAATCGAAAGATATGTAGGGACTTTGGTGCAACATTTATCTTAAATCAAACGAAAAAATAGATGGGAGCTACATCTAAATCTTAATCGATCATTCTAGGCCTAATTCAATACGCTGTGCCAAATTTCGTACAAATCGAAAGATATTAAGGGACTTTGGTACACCATTTACCTTAAATCGGACGAAAATATATATGGGAGCTATAGCTAAATCTGAACCGATTTTCAGGAAACTTAACACACATCATTCTAGACCTGATTCATTACGCAATGCCAAATTTCGTGCAAATAGAAATCGAAAGATATGTAGGGACTTTGGTGGACCATTTACATTAAATCGGACGAAAATATATATGGGAGCTATATCTAAATCTGAACCGATTTTCCAAATTTCAATAGGGTTCGTCTTTGGGCCAAATTGAAGAGCTGTGCCAAATTTCATCCGATTCGGATCATAAATGCGACCTGTACTTTATTTACAATTTAACATGCATTTTCTATGAATATTCTCTCTATGAATATTCTATGAATATTCTCATGTGTCCATCTCGTTTCCTTTTGCCTGTTACAAACATATGTACAAATACATAATACCCTGTACCACAGTGTGGTGAAGGGTATAAAAAAAGATCTATGC